TTTTAGCGAATGGAGTGTACGTTATCTGAAAAACGTGACAAATAAGTTTAAGCCGCTGAAGTTGGTGTTTCACGACGAAACCGGTTACCAAATTTATATCTCCATCATAACTTAACAAGCGATCTAGGCCCCGGAAGTACTCAGATGTTGCTGGTATCGGGTGTGGAGACAGCAGCAACCAGACGCAAAATAACAAAACCAACTCAGCTTGATACCAACTTAACTACCGAAAGTTTATTTAATGCTACAGCATTTCAAACATTACTATAAATGTCAGTTATCACGAGATATTGTAGTAGCACAAAACCTATGAAGAATCTCAGTTGCCTTAATGTCCTAGTTACCGATCAACGTAGAGACAGGACTTAGATGTTGTGGTAGAACACAAATTCATTTTTAATTAGTTGGCCTGACATTCTAGTAATATAATTTTATTCATCAGTCTGTGTATATATTACTTAAGTGATGATAGTTCCCTATAGTGATGCGTGAATACTATTATTGACATCAGATATGACAAAATGTAGGATTGACGGAAGCCAGAAACAATCAAACTACTTATCCCAGTGCTCACCTATCGTTTAAGTAGCTCATTATCAGCATTACGATTACCTTCACCTCTCATTATGATGAAAAGCAAAGAGAGCTGACATGTGAAAACATTACTTCAGCGTCCCATGCTGTTGAATAACGGATTCATTAACCATCGTCGCACTCTGATCGACATCCTCAATAAGTCTAAAAAGTTGCAGGCTGTTACCTAATGTTGATGCCTTCTAAATCTCTCTCGCTTTCGCCACCCACCACTGCTCATCATCATTGAGAAGACTCTTGTTCAGTTCAGGCTGAGATCGCTTTCGCTCCTCATTGTGGTCAGACCCAACTAGAATCAGTCTCCACTTGCAAATCGATTCGCATGACGTTTCTAACCTTCGGATGTGTGTGATCAACTGCCTTTATAGCTGTTACCACAGCAGACATGATACCACACCAGGTTTCCTAGAGATGAGGATTGTTGTCATGCTCGGATGGATACTTAGCTGTCTCCTCCCTAAATACTTAATTCACATTCTCATCTTCTAATCGGGCAGACACAGGCTTTACTGACGCCTGTTTTCTGTGACCAGCAAGGCGTAGATATACATGTCCCTGTAATAACGCGTGGTCGAAGTTCAAACTGATACTCTGGAAGGGGTTGGAATAATCCAACGATGGTCTACAGAAACATGGTCTATGTCCTTCTATCGTTGGTTTGATGTCGGTGGATGCCATGTGAGACAGTTGTTCTCCTTATGCTTCAAGTTAGTGCTAGCCAAAAACAAGTGATTGTCAGGACAAAACTGTAAGAGATGGTCACTGTTTTGTTGGCCTAGGATGCCGTAGATACCTTTACTCTGCCTTTCCGATTGGCCCACCCATCCTACTTGAGTGATGAAGTCACCGGCTATTATGACTATATCTCAAAGTTTGCTTTATGTAATAGGAAGGAGAACGTTTGGTAGGGTTTATCTTTTGCACCATCCGAAATGCAGCCGGTCAGTGTCTATACGGAGATTACGCATACACATCAGCTAGTCTCACTATCCTTCCTAGTTCTTATATAGATCCATTCAGTCGGAAAGAACACAGACGGTGGTTGACTGGTATTCAGTTGAGAAGTGCGCTTTCTACTCGATAACTTGATGCTACACATACATACACACCAGTGAGTCCACGAGAACCAGCCATTGTGTCCCTGGACATTTGTACAGTGAATTTAGCAGATTCGCCACGTTGGCTGAGCGAGACTAAGTGAATGACCACTTTTGGGTTGTGGATACATGTCTCAGAGGCATAGCTTGTATCCATGACTCGAGATCCTAAAGTTCTGATGAGTGGTGCATGCTGTCCGATTTGGCACAGAGTTCGGTCGTTGAAGGGTCCAATGTGAAACAGATAGTGGAGTTTTAGGAGAACATGAATAATGATTCGGATCGTCGGCAATGGATGCAGAGTAAGAAGTTGAGAAGGTTGCAAGAGGCCAAATATTGATATCAGATGAAAATAAAGGAGGTTGATTTGTGTTTTTGGATATTTTTTACTGGTTGTCTCATGAAATGTTCTTGTGTGAAGTCTTGTTTAGAATACTTTCTTACCTCTAATAATTTCATTAGCTTTCAAGCTGTTCACTTCCAATGCTTATTTTCTTCGGATCGGAACGTTGCACATATGCCTGAACTTGTCAACAATCGATTTGTCTTTTGTTGGGACGCACAGGTTTTTCGGATGTATTCTTCTAAAGAAAGGGAACAGACGGCTAGAGGCCGCTGTTGATTTTGGTAGTAGTCGTTTTTATTGATGGGGATTGACCTTCGTAGTATTTTCCTCTTAATCATAGCCACATGATCTCACTATTTGTTTATTTTATATCCTACCTTATTTCTTTCTCGGTTTCCTTTGAAGATTTGAAAGTGCTGGTACTATTATTACTTTCTTTCTCGCTAACTTGTTTTTCATTACGTAAACTAAGACAGATTGTTGCAGTCGATTGAGATGCCCTTAGGCAGCATTTTTCAAATTATCAACGAATAATATAGCTGTGCCGATCTTTTCTCGCGTTGATTTGTTATCTACAGTGATGATAGACAGTATCACTTACCAAACATTCATAATTTCTTGGTTTCTGTTTTACCTCGCCACTGATTCATGATAGTAAATACTTCTACCGGGGTTTCGCTATAGATGGAATAATTTATTTTTCGTCTATCGCGTATAAATCAGTGATTCAGAACTGGTTCATAGCCACTTACAGTTTGACAAGAAGTGGTGTACAGCATTGGTTAAGGGAATGTAACTCTGAAGTGGTCCTAGTAGTTCATTAATCAGGACAAAGTCTAATCACTTGGAGCGGATATATATTTGAAACTTTGCAAGTTATGTCTTTAATCATAAATTGTCTTCACTTCTATCAGCAAAGGAATGTCCCGATCAGCACTACTGCTTGTGTGAAGGGTAAATATCGTGATAATCAAATGAATGGAATACCAGAGGAAACTTGTTGATTGTTATCCGCAAGTTGAAAACGTTAAGGCACGATCAGAATACCAAACAGAAACTGTCATTCGAGAGAATTCGACAAAGTCTATTATAGAATACAGATTCACTTGTGCATCATTGGCTTAAATGTAAAAAGAATATTTGTTAGTATTCTAACGAAAGAGTCATTCTTCACTAACTGGCAACACATCAACGCTCAACCGATATTCATAAAGGCTAGTACAGCTAAATATTCACGTTAGAAGATTTTCAGTTCATTTTTACTTGTTATAAAAAACGTTGCGTATTACAACTTGATAACAAAATAGTTTTCTATGATTTCAAATATTCTAGTTAATATTTTTACTTGTTTTAAGCTGGCTCAAATCTCGAACTTATCACAATGCACTCGTTTCACTGCTATCTGTAAACTATAAGAAGTAGTGACAGTGCCAGTCACAAAACACTCGCTGGATATCTATAGGGTGTTGCACAGGCCATAAAAATTTCATCCATTCCATGTAAGGTAGCTACAATGTATGCCAAACATATAGTTTTAGAATGGTCATAAAACGGTCAGGATTCATTGCATTCAAAATTTGTATATATGTATGACAAAGATGCGTATGAAATACAACAATATAAACTGAATTTATTTTCGCAGATGCGATGGATTGTATGGCGTTACCTAAAATACCTCCAATTTTGTTTAGCAAGCTTACAGATCAAAGCAATAGTTACTCACCTCTTTAAGAGTCAAATGTACTGCACTAAAGTTCTGTGTTCTACTGTTTGACTCTGAAATCTGACATTAAAGGCAGAAGATATGGGAAGGCTTCAGGCGCTTGACCACCTTTGCCTTCGTAGCATAGGTCGGGTGTTATGGTGTCACCGCATCAGTAATGTAGAAGTCAGGTAATAGGGCTTTAGGGAGAGGAGGAAAGTCATTTGATGAAGTTATAAACTTTAGTCGTCGGTTAATGCGGCTGAGATATGTGTTACACGTGCCTAGTCACCATCTGCCTTGCTAAACAACGTTAGCTGGGATAGATTTAGGCTGGAAAAAGGTTAAGGTCAGCCAATCTAAAACATGGGATCAGTGGATGGGATTTCTGACTTGGTCTGAGTCGTGTGGGGAAATGTAGCTCCTCGTTCTGGAGTCCACTTGACAACAGAAACCAGGGCTTCGAGACTTTAGTTGGAATGATGCCAGTGATGCAGATATATCTACACATTATTTTCGTGTTACTCATCAAACTGAATTTCAGTATTTTCTCATTCCTCCTTCATCTCTTTTGCTACTTTCTACCACTTTTGACTGCTTTCTTTCTCTATTTTTCATCCTGTTGCTTTCTCGCTTGGTGTGCTGAAATGAGGTTTAGGAACTTGGACTGTTACTCATTAGTGTCTGATCCTATGTTGATGTTGTTTGTCCTCTGTCTGTTGACTTCTCTGATTACTTGAAGGCTTTTTTCATATTTTTTTGTACCATGGTTCATTTGTTTAGGTAGTCAACGTCTTCAATGGGCTCAAAATAGTCTTACCCAGTGAGGTAAATTACCATGCAATGGACGTGACTTATCCTCTATTGATTGATTTTGCACATGGTTGCTGATTTAAATTATCTTCTGTCTCACTCTTATACCAGTGGACCCACTTAACAATAATTTCTCAACCACTAAGTGAACTAATCTTCGTTCTCGAAAATACTGAACCCGATTTTGACAAAGATGACACATTACGTGACTCAAACACACCAGCGATAAAATGTTTATGTTCTCCTTTCTTTATCCTATTGTTTTGTGTTGGCATAGAGTTAGATTGGATCGAATGTTTCTTAATCGAAAGTTGTGCACGGTGCTGACATGCAGTTGGTTTTAGCTGGCTCATAGATTTCTTTGAACGGCATCTTACTCATATAAATTCATGATCGCTTAGAAGTTCATCACAGAGATTTTGTTTGTTTGTATTACTGTCTTTTCTAGGTTGTAGCACTTGCTGTTTACATTTACTTCGGTGTGACAATCTTCGGCCACCAGTTTGTTGATGCTTCCTTAATTATTAAAGCGGCTAACCTAAAGGTTAACAAATCCAGTTTATCACCAGCCAATAACAGTATTGTCGGGAATCCAATCAATATTTTCGGTAATCTGTCTGATTTTGTAAAAGCATCAACTGATGAGAATACTGATGATATCCCATTCCCTCAATTCTATTCAAATATTCCGCTGTTCACAATCCTTTCTTTCATTTTTTATAATGGTTGGCTTAAAGTAGCCGAATCGCTTGTATCACCTTTCGGTATGGATGATGATGATTTTGAAGTTATTCCCTTGTTGGAGAGAAATTTGAATGCAAGTTTATTTTTTGTAGATGCAGGAGTCTCAGATCCTAGTTTAATTCCTGATCTGGTGAGGACAGTTTGTAGAGTTGATGTTGAGGATTATGATAATTACGGTACCGATGGGGATAACCTTAGTCGATCCACCACTCCAGGAGGTCATCGTACTAGACCAAAAGGTGGTAGTCGAAAAACAGTCTTCTTTCACCTGCATTTCCTGATGCCAGATATTTTCAAGGACCCCCATCAACTTTTGGTTCAGTTGTGGATAATGATATGCCTTATCCGCCACTGCCACCCAGTCGTGAACGCAGACCATCACATACTGCCTTTATAGGATCTTTGGCAGTAATGGCAGCAACCCCGAAAGAAAGCGATTTAAAAACTGCTCGATCTATCTCACCATATCCAGAATCTGATCAAGAAAGTGCACAGTTTAGTCCTGATACACTATTTGCCTCAGTAGAATCATCTATTCATCATTTAGGAACAAAACTGAAAAAATTCTCATTTGTTCGACCAAATACCTCAGCTATACATGGAGTAATTAGTCGCACTCCAAGATCTGTGAATCCAACCAAAACAGAAAGTGTTGCGTCTATTCGGAGTGAACTTAACTCTCACAATATTTGATTTCAATATTCACATCGACACTAACACAGATTTTTTATTATCTTTCTGATCAACTTATTAACTGCGCCTCTTTTGTTGCTGTCTTTTCCGGCATTTGTTTTCCCAAGTCAATATACCTGACTTGGATTACTTTTTTACCTTTAAAAGAAACAGTATATGCAAATATCCTCAAGTTATGGCTGTGTTGTATATCCGGTATAATTTAGATCTTTAATGTGATTATACTGATTGACAACCATTTTTCAAATTGTGTACATTTCAACCTTCGTTTCCTCTCCTACTTCTGACTTTACTCCTATTTAGCGTGTTGTTCACCATCTTAATGAATCATAAATAACAGTTTCTACCTTTTGTGTGGAGTCTGAGTCTTTCATTGGCCTTCAATATCAATTGTTTCTGTTAAGTTCGAAGATCATTTGAAAAACGTAGCACTGGTAGTTGTAGGGAAAGGAGTTTAACCTAAGCAGGCAGGGAACAAAAGTTATCGAACAAAATTTGTTGGTACCATAAAACGTGAGTACATCTGCGAAACTGAATTTAGTTTTCAACCATTCAGTCAAAGTTTGTAGTCAAATTAAATTTGTCATTTTGAGCAGGATCTTTTTTATAGGTCGTAAAATTGAGGTGGATAGCAGTCTTGGAACAATATTGCGATTACTGTTAGCGGGGCTTGTCATCCGATTGCTAAATGATTGAAATCAACCAGGACTGAATTTTGTTTTTGTACTGAGCATCAGTTTATTTGAGAACTCATTTCTCAGCAAAGCCATGTTAACAAATATCTAGATCAAGCTGTGTTGCTTTCAGCACTGTAAACTTTGCGACCTTGGTTTTGCTCGATAACGTCATGTTCTATGTAGTGCTGGCGTAAGTCGATCTACCGCAGACTAGTATAATAACACCATCCTAAAGCTGAGATAAAGTACTGGATATGATATCTTTGAGTATATAGCATACAACTGTCTGTGGCTTGTCGTAATGACTAGTTATTTTTCGGAATGACACTTTTCTTGTGATCCATTACACATTGGCTCTTTGTCTAAAGCACGGGGATCATAGGACCGAAGCTAGCTTAACCTATTGAGGTTTCAACCGCCAGTAATGAAAGCTTATAAATTCCTATCTTAGTTTTGTCTTAGCTAGCAATGGAGTTAGACGGTGTTGTTATCTGTTTCCCCTTTGTGAAGACAATCAACGGAAAGCCTACCCTTTTTAGTAGCCAATCAACGTATTTAGTCTATTCCTACATGATCCGACCGACAGGTGCCATCTTGACGTGGTAGTTGGGCTTACATATCACAAGCAACCAATATGGTGGGACGCTTGTTCCCTCGAGGTGCTACCATACTAGAAAAGTCTGTTGGATAATGGTTAAACATTTGCCGCTATAGTGTTAACGACTACTTTATGATGAAGGTTTTAGGGCGACGTCGTATTGCTCAATGGACGGAGTGTGATAGGAGTAAAGTGTTTCCCTCGAATGACCAGCAGTGCTACCCTGATGCTGGTTTCTTTATTGAGACGGTGGGGTTAGAAAAGGTTGGCCTTCAAAATTACCCATTAATCCGGACATCCAGGTGATGTGGGTTCAAATGTAGCGAACTAAGATCTTAAATTTGCTAAAAAGGCTTCAAGTAGACGTCCCACGGATCTCTGGTCAATCACGAACCTATCTCTCTCAGGAGTCTCAAGAAGGACCAGGAAGCGTCGACCGCCCCCATGCATCCAATAGTACACAAGACCCATTCAAACATAATTCATCCTCTTCAACTCTGTCTCCCCATTTCCCTTCGCATCCTTGATACCAATATTAAGTTTCTTACACCTTACCTAACCTCTCACTCCGCAACCATTTCCAAGGATCAAAGCCATCGAAACCTCATTCCTAGTCTCCTAAGACCCCACCATCGATTTCATGTAGGAGCTTTCAACGTCACAACTCTGCCTCAGATAAGGCATTAAGCATCGCTCGCCAAAACTCTGGAATCCCTAGCCATGGATGTATGTTGTGTCTGTAAGACACGTATACAAGACCTGAGTGTGGTTATTAAATTGACTTCGCCCGGCCATAGTATTAAATCTTCAAAATTCACTTTAAGAGTATCCGGAGACGCAACGGCCAGCTCTCATGGAGTCGCTGGTGTAGGCATAGCACTGAGTCGTAGAGCAGAAAGTGCCCTCCTTGACTGGATACCAGTTAATACCCATCTATATGCTCTCTCACTGAATGTATCTGTAAGACCTAGGAAAGATCGTGCGAATAATCGATGCCTATTTGTAGTCTCCGTCTACACACCCACCGACTTTAGTTCGGATGATGCAAAGGATGAAATCTATGAGTAGCTGTCAACTTTGGTGCAGAAAGCTAAACGTTCAGACGTCGTTATAATGGCAGGTGACTTTAACGCTGAGGTAGGAAAGTTGAACCAATCGGAAAGGCATCTTGGGGGTGTTTACGGAGTTGCATGCCAGCAAACCGACAACGGTGATCGTTTGTTGCAATTTTGTTCTGACAATAACCTGTCTCTAACCAACACTAACTTTAGGTACAGGGAGAGAGACTGTCTTACATGGCGTCTGCCGAAATCGAACGGACGATGGATACAGATAGATCACATCGCTATAAGCCATCGTTGCAGAGTATCGGTGAAGGATTGGGGCTCTTTCTGGAGTACCAGTTTGGACTCCGATCATGCGCTATTGCGGGGTCGTGTATGTATGCGCCTTACTGGCCGCAGGAAACAGAAGAGAGTAATGACCATGTGTGCTTGTTTGGTAGACAAGGACGCCAGGTAAGCATTTGGAGTGGAGGTAGTTAAGCATTTATCTGAACGTGATAGCGATGCTCATCCTGAGGAAACCTAGCGTTATATTAAGTTTGCTGTAGAAACAGCTTTAAAGACAGTTGGTAACCTACACCCGAAGGTTAGTAAATGTCATTGGATTTCCGTGACATCATCCTGACTGATTGATTCGAGATGACTGATTCCAGCTGGCTCTGACCACAACGAAGAGCGGAAGGAACTTAAACGTCATTTGACCAAGAGACTTCACGTCGTTAACGAGCAGTATTAAGTGGTGAATATTGGAGAGATGGAGAAGACATCAGCGTTGGGTGGTACTCGGCAACTATTTAGACTTATTGGGGATACTAATGATAAAACGACGATGGCAAGTGAGACCATATCTATAAGGGATGGGACGCTGATGACCTCTCAAGACATGTGGCTAGAACGTTGGGCAGACTAATTTGAAGTATAGTTCAACTGGTCCTCAGCAACCCTCAAGTGTCCTCACTTTGTGACATGGCTGATAATCGGTCATAATGGAGAAGATGTATTCACTCCTTGGCATCTTCGAAAGCCTGAATATTCTCACTAACTTAAATTTTACAAATTGCTTATTGTCTCACACTACTTTATCTACTTTGTTATCACTTCATTTTTATCCACCTGTTCTTTGTGAACTTCTGTGAAGTGTGGCAAACTTAGCCGATGCACTCCTGTACTAGGTTCTACGTTGATTCGTCAGTGATATACGTGTTTCATAAAGACAGAAAATATTCATGGTCTGAGATGCCAAAGTTTTGGCCATTGAAACTTTTTGACCGATTTGACAGTAGGTGTGGACACTGAAAGCTCCAATGTGTAGTTTGGAAGCAGGGTTCAGAAGACGATCAGTGTTGTTCCGTGGACCTAGATCGTTGTCACGAGCTGTAGATTTGGAACAGATAAAAGATGCTGTAAGATTATTGCTCTAGAGTTGTGAATGAAGATTAAAATCTTAGTATGTAGGGGGTGGATAATGATATGATATGGATAATGACATCACAAGGATTGACCTAATCTCAGGGGTATGCTTGGTAAATCTAGAACATGCAGTCTTGTTAGGTAATTGTGTTGACGCCGTGCACAGTCTTATAGAATCATTGGGTGACAGGTTGAGAAAATTTAGATGCTTTTCTCATCATCCAAATGCAGATCGTTACTGCATGACTAGTCTTCAGCTGTGCTGCAGTTAACAGTAGAGAATAAAGTTATCGAGTGCGTTAACCACTTCACTCACCTGGGAAGTCAGGTCAGTCTATGAAGTTGAGAAGCTTGGTCAACTCAGGAGTCTGGAACATGCATTCAGCATACCTAGTCGCCATCTGCTTGGCCACAGAATGTTAACTGAGATAGATGTAAGCTGGAAATTATTAAGGTCGACCAGTCTGAAACATGTGATCAGTGGATGGGGTTTTGACTGTTGGTCTAGCTTGTTAAGGTAATCTAGGCTTCTCGTCTGTCTTCCATGTTATAAAAGACGAGTGGTTGGAGACTCTATGTGACTTTGCTGGGAATCGCTTTCAACGGTGTATGTGTTTCCACACATTGTTCCCATTTTAATCGTCAAATTAAATCCACTATTTTCTCATTCTTTCTTCCTTTCCTTTACTTCTTTTCCACTCCTTCATCTTTATAATCTTACTGCTTTGTTACTTGATGTGGTGATGTATGGTGTGGTAACTTAGACCGTTACGTAGTAATTCCCGACCCTGTGTTGATGATGATTTCCTTATGAAGTTAGTCGCGGTCCGAATACTTCGGTAGCAACGACTCTGACCACAGCACCCAGTGATGTGTGTTTGAATTTGCCAAGTTTGCAAATACGTTTTGCTGATAAGTACCAACAGGTACGAAGTTTGGTTTAGGGCTTTCTGCCGATTACCTCCATCCACCTGACCTCTGTGAAAGTGCACTGCATTGTTGAGCCTCCAACCTTGGGGCCACATAGCAAAATAATCGATAATTCTGTCAGTTGTCATTATTAGACAACGTAGTAGCTCTCTGGGGACTAATCAATGTTCACTCCTCTCTGCCCTACGATTTTCTAATGCTGGAGATATGGGTTTTTCTGATTCACATATAAAATAAACAGATTCTAATCAAGAATTTTGTGTGACTGATCTCAGTTAGACGCCTCTTGGCCTGTGCGGCCACTCAAAACTGATCCACTTC